TTAGGGAAAGAGGATCATACCACCAGCAAGTCGACTACAATCGAAAACCAAGGCCACTGGGAACCAACATCCATGTAGGGGTAGGATAAAGGGTCATACCGGTGGCAAGTCAGGGATGAACAAAATCATCTGGGAGAAGAAGAAAAATGGGAGAATAGACAAATGTGTAGATCCAATTTTGACTGAAAACATCGATAGCCAGAGCAAGAAGACGAGGAACCGGTGACCAAAACCAAGGCAATTTGTGGTTATGGGATGTAGCAAAAGCCTCAATATGAGGAGAACCCCACTGAAGTCAAAGCCACTGGAAAACAAAAACATTGAGAGACCACTCCATTGGATAAATGTTGTCTGGACAGGAATCCAATCCACAACAACAGCGAATGAACCCGGAACATGACACTTAATGATAGGAATATTGAGCATTTGGGCCCAAAAACAAGATCTAATGTATGAATACAGAGGGATCGAGAACGGGTGCCGCCATGGTGATTGAGATAAGCAACCACTGTAAAAAGTCAGAATGGATCATTACCAGACAATTTCTAGCCAGATGGAGAAAATGAGCCAAATAATGACCTACAGAGAGAATCTCCAGGACGTTGATAGGATAAGACCTCTCAGCCACAGACCAAACACCCCCCCCCCGAATCGTCCAGTTGATCAACCCACACACCCCATCCCCAAAGGAATATGTCCATAAAATGTAGAAAACCGGATGAGGAGGAAGAAGCAGGACACCCGCTGACATGCAAGTCATATCTAGCCACCAACACCAATCAAAGACAAGGTTAGGATGAAGGGTAATTAGTAAGAGCTGACAAAAGATACCTGAAAAATTCTACTGGTTGTGAAAAACCCACGAAAGAGCCCGCATATAAGCCTGACATAAGGGGATAAGGGCTACCATGGAAGATTACATCCCCAAAAGTGATAGAACTTCACGAGCTGTAATCAAACTGAAAACCTATTGAACAAAGTCAAAGAGGAGAATGGTGGGCCTGACTGAGATGTGTGTAGAAAAAACAACAACACCCAAATGGACAAGAAATTGGATAGGTCGCAGTGAGGACTTTTACAACTTGATTAACAGCCCATTATAGCCACCACCAGGAGCAGCTGATAAGGGTAACAAGTGGACTTCTGTTTGGAATGAGCAAACAGAAGCTAGTCAACCAAAGAGAGAGGAAAGCACACCCTAGAGCATATAAGTGATGAACAAATGCTCTGCATGCCTAACAAAACATACAAGGCTGAAGCAAGCCCGAAGGGCAGTGTGCAAAACAGAGAAACCACCCCTTGAAGAATAAACTGAAGAGAGGGTTGTGAGTGACGAAATATAGGGAAATGCAAATAAGCATTTGTGACATTCCTCTTTGTCATCAATAAACCTGGAGAAAAAGCCCACCTGAGGGTGAGAAATGACTCCAAGGTAAAACAGGGCAGATTGAAAATTAGAATGAGGTTGGACAAACCTTACAGACTGCCAGTTTCCCTGGTTTGGCGTGAGGACAACAAAGTGTGTGTAATCTGTGCATCAACACTCGACCCTTACCTCTTAGGTTGCATGTTTGTCACAGTTGGAGCCATGACATGCCTCTTTTCTTTTCCTGTACTGGTCCTTATCTACTTGTCCCTGTCCCCCTTCTTTGGTTTCTCATCTCATCGTTTTATTCACCACTGATGGGCATATCGCTAACAGTACTAGATACTAACCAGAGGGTTCCAGTCCAGTGGGAGCTTTACTATATTATATTGTTACCCTTTGGTGATTTTTAACTGCAGTTCCCTGGGTTCTTTGGGTTTTATCAGAGGGACTTGTCCTACTATTTCTTTTCCCACCTCATTTGTCTCTGGTACCCTTTTCCTGCCCTATGATTTGGGATCCTGCCACCAGCCTGGGTCTGTCCGAGGTGGTTCAAGATTTTCTGTCTGTACAAGCTATTGCACCTGTTCATCATCTTTCTCCAGGCTTTTATTCCAGGCTGGATTCCAAAGTCTCAGATTCACGATCAAAAACATATCACCAAAGAAAATACAGAAATCCTGAAAAGAAAGAGGTGGCAAATGCAATCCAGAAAATCCCAACTACAGTGAAAACATGTATGTAAAGCGAGAGCTGAAGATGACAAACGAGCAAACATGGAGGTAATAAGGAATCATAGAAAAATAGGGAATTGGATAAAACATAATGTACCTGAGAAATAATGTTGAAAAATACCGTATTAGGACTAGCTCATTCTGTAAGAGGGGTAGGAAAAAACACTGCAAAATCCGGTTGTGTAAAAAGGCTATCAAATCTTCATTGGCCCGAACAAGTTTGGCTTGTTCAGGAGGATTAGTGGGGCAAGTTCGGGAGAAGAAGGTTCACCCAAATGAAGATCATTTTCACGATGGATAATAGCAGAGAAATCCAACAATGGGTCTCCCTCACCTGCACCCTGTGGAAATAGTGCTAGAGGTATAACACCTGAAGTAGGAAAATGAACCTCAGAAATACGTAAATCAAACAAAATTGTTTGATGTGAAATATCAGAGTGTGAGAAAAAATAAAAATAAAGACTGGGAAATTAAGTTAAATTAAAAGATTTCTTCAATGTAAAGAAAAAATAATAATAATGAAGAAATCCCACTTTGGAAATCAAACCATTAAAAATCACAATTCACACGAAGAGCACCAAAAGAAAAAACATATGAACACAAGTACTGCCAAACAAGAAGTCATAATTCGGTAGAATTGAATAGAGAGGCACATGCGTCATGAGAGTAGGTCACACTCTTTCTAGTGGAGGGTTGATGCATGATGATTTGCATGAGACACACATTGGAATCAGTCAGTTCCAATGGAGGAAAGATAAAAGGCTTGTAGCATGTATACTTTCTTGCATATAGAGGGCAGCACTGAACAAGAATACCTATTTATGTAAGCGAAGGTGATGTACTGTATTGAAATTTGCTAATGGGAAAAAATTTAAGGTCAATGACAGCAATTAATACAAGTTAACAAAACTGTTAACTGTTAACAAAATGTGTGTCTGTCTAGTGGAGTTTTATATGATTCTTTATTTTACTGTTTTTGTATGTTAACATATATTTATACTAAATATTACATTAAATGAAAATGTCTTAACTGAAGACAAACTTTTATTTACAATATAAATGATTTTTATCACAATTAACAAAACTAAGTGTTAAAAATTACCCTTATCACAAAATAATGAATAAGCACTAGACTTAATTACCTCACTTCCCTTTAACATCATAAAACAAAGAAAACAATTAATTGTCTAAAATAGGATTAGTCTAACTAGCTCATTTATCCTTAAATTTTCTTAAAGAAGTTAAATATGTTGAAAATAAAGCCTCTGGTTTCCCTATAAAAACAAATAAATCTTTTTTTGATTAATTATAAAGAAAACACCTTCTTCCTATTAATTTTGGTACTCAACTTTTCAAAAAAACAAGTTTAAAATCAAGAATAGTAATTTTTTATTACCTTATTTCACTTAATTTACTAGCCAAGTAACTTTTTTTGCAACATTAAGGTCCCATAAAAACAGATTATCATTTCTTTATAAAATTTTTATTTTCAAAGCTTGAGAAATTATTTAGCTATTCAATTTCAAAAAACAACTATACTGTTAAAACTTCAAAATGAAAATGAATACAATTCACTTGAGCCTGTATAAACTCACCTGTACTACATTGACATGGATACCTCTGCCCTACTTCTCACCACATCGTGCCACCGATTTGGACTCTCAAGAGGGATTACACAACTAGTGAATAACTATCCAAATCAACCATTCCAGCAGCTAGGAACTGGAAGTGGAAGGGTCTCTCATGTTTAACTCAAAGACTGGGAGAGGAATTCCTGTTAGGGAGGTGCCCCAGACCTCTTTTACTGAAGAAAATGCAATGGGTTACTGTGAAACCTAAGTTGAAAAGCTGGCATGCACAAGTCAGGGAAGTGGGCAGACACTCCCCTAGTAATGGCTTTTTCTATGATACTCCAAAGAGTATAGAAGTGTTATGTGGTCAGAGAAACCTGACTGATGAGCAAGGGCTTGAACAAATGTCATATATGAAGATGAAGGGATGACACTTGACTGAAAAAGAGGTGTATGAGGTTGGAACAAAAGTGACAGACATGGTGGCAGAGGAAGAGGTGCCCTGGTTGCCAGTCAGTGAAGAAGATGATAACAACAGTGAGCTGGCCAAAAAAGGTGCTATCAACAGGCTCCAAAATGAAGTTGTTGCAAATCATCACCAAGACACATGGAAGAAGGCAACGAGGAGAGTAAACATATAAAAAGAAATGAAACCAGTTCAGGTTGAGGGTATATACATTCACAGCTACTGGGTGAGGTACCAGGGACCAGAAAAAGGGGAATTGGTATTGAGAGGAGTGTCCAGCCAGGAACAATTCCAATGAAATACCCGAGGATGGAGTGATCACTTAAGAAGAATCCTGCCCAGTTGAGAGAGTCGATCCACCACCAAGTTCAAAAACCCCAGGACATGACAGATTGTCAGATTAAGCCACTGTGAATTGGCCCAAAAGAGAAAGTCCAACATGTGGAAGCAAAGATCCCTGGAGTGAGTACCACCTAGACTATTGATATGGGAAATGACCATAGAATTGTGGGAATGAATTATAAACAAGTAATCCACAAGATGGGGTAGAAAATAGGAACACCTCCAATGGGTTGCCAAGAGTTCCAAATCAAGAAACGAAATCCCTGATGCCATGAAGCTTTCCAAAGATGTGTCACAACCTGTAAGAGATGCATCAGTGAACAGATGAAATTCCAGACAGGGGAGGGTGGCAATGGGATTCCAACTGAAGCGATGGCCTGATTAACAGTTGAAGCCCATATTATGTTTAATACCAAGAGCTCAGTGGCTCTTGGGACTTTCAAAATGTATAAAGAAATGTTACATTGCTAGTGCTGTATCTGAAACCAGAAAGAGGCAAAAGTTAGAGAGAGGGAGAAGCAAATCTATGTCAACACTATACAGATAAAATCAAAGGAATGCACCTGAAACTGGCTGAAAGAGAAGAAAAAAAGGAAAACATGATTAGATGAAAGTATTACTAGAAACATTATTATATATTGTGGTGAGATCTGGGAGTCACAAGAAAGAGTTAAAGCTGAATTGACAAAGTTAGAAACCAAAACTGGCAAAATAAATGCCAGGAAATGTCAAATTCAGGTCCATTCCAAATACTTAATTAGAAGGAAAAATTCCAATAGCCTTTCCTTTACCAAGATTACAACTGATATACTTACAAAATATCTTCTGTCCATTGTTGATTAATCATTTGCAAGTTGAAGTTTGTGTTGTATAGCTATTTAATCATAGCTGGAAGTGAATTTAGCCAAAAATGGGATAACAGGTATTGGCAAATAAATATTGCAGAATTCACATAACTAAACACTGGGCCTGAAACGAAACTGCAACTCAGGAGGTGACAATGAATACTTAATGGCACCAGCTGAAATCACTGTTGATATTCTTCATGGGGCTTTGATCATACAATACAAATCAAATGATAGATTAACTGTGTGGATGTGTACATTTTGCATGGATTTAGATCTTGAGAGGATATCAATGCAATCAAGAAAGAACAAAAATCTCAATATTATTACAGCATTAGTAGTAATTTGTATAAGTGGTGTGCCACACTTAAATCAAATTTGAGATTTTCACTTGTGGTCACAATGTAAACTGAAAAATATCACATAAGCAGTAAATTTTATAATTATTTGACCTGTTTAAATGAAAGTCCACATTGGATTACTTGTGGAGCCCATTTATGGTTATTCTACTTCTTCCAGTACACCAAATAAATCACTTGTCTTTGTCTGTCAATTAACCAATTTTGATACTTCTTGTTACTGGTTCCCAGAGAAACAGTAAATTATTCTTCTTCCAGTGGAACTATCATTTTAACAACAGAAAATGAGTTACTACATGACAAAGCCATTACATATCATGCTTTAATGCTTTTCATCACAGGATAAGATTTCTATGGTTAATTCTTTATAAAAAATGCTTAATGATTACCTACTTGATTATTACACTACTTGTCTTTAAATAGGCTGCCCAAAAGCTAAAAAATCATGATTCTAAAAAATGCTATATCTCTGTTTGTCAAAGAAATATTTTCAAAATTCTAATTGTTCTGAATTTACTTTTACCTATACTATATAATGGGTTTGGTTTGAAGAAAATTTGATTTTTTTTATGTACCTATCATTGGTTTGGCCACATTTGTAGGATTATGTTCTGTCTTGAGTGCCTTAGTTTAGGAAGTATATTGAATCATCAGAAAAAAAGGTTCAGAGGAGGGTCAGTAGGAGTAGGATACCTGGGATGGAAAGGTTGTCATACGACTCATGAGGACAGACTAAGATTCTGAAATTCTCTTTTGAACAAAAATGAAGAGTTGGAGGGGGATCTAATTGAGGAATTTAAGATTGTTGAGGAAATTAATGTAATGGTGTTGATGCATCATCTTTTTTTTTTCGTATTTAACCATTAACTTGATTAACTTAAGTTAATAATAATTATGGTGAGTATGGTAGGACTAGGGCAGAGTTTTGACTTTTTGAGTAGGAGTCATATTCTGTGATATAGACAGTTACTCACTTACTGTGTGAAGCTTGAATTGGAATTGGGCCTATAATTTGTGAATATTAATGAGATTAGAAAACTGCTATAAAAATTAAAAGTATAAAGCAGCTGTAACTTATAAATAATTTTAAAATATAATTTTGTATTTGGCTTACCTCATTAAATCTTTTTTCAAAATGTGATTTCTGGTCCGGTGATAGTGAAGTAGTATTAACAGCTTTGCTAACCTCATTTTGCATAATTTTACACATTATATCAAAATAACGCTGACTTGTAATCAACGCGTCTATTTTTTGATTCTTGGCAGCTTCCTCTTGATTATTCTCATCTGTCTTTGATGCCATATTGATTTAGCGCGTAATTCAATCTTTTCGAACTTCCCGCTAGAGGAAAAATACCCTAACAATAAAAAACAAAACAAAAAACTCTTGTGTAATTAGATCGTTAACAAAAAAACAAAATAGAAAAACTTAAATCAAAGGTTTTATTTAAATATACCTCAATATTTTTCTAGCTTAAAACTATATACTTTTAATTACTGTTATTATTATTAAAATAGATAAGTAGGATGTTCTTGGCTGATGGTGGCCAAGGTAAACTTCCAAAATCTGACTAACTCATTTAGTAAATTCAGATGAAAAGAAAACAGATATAATTAATGGTGATTGCTTCTTTAATTGATTGTTAAGTCAACCTTTTATTTAGATATTATTCAATAATCTTTCTTTAAAATTAATAACGTTTTTCAGTTTTCGCGCAAAGCTATAAAAGGGCTATCTGAATTAGCCAAGCTTAAAGGTAGATTAAAGGAAAGCATCTAGTTAACAGCGTCCACTGCCAACTCTTGGACTGCTTTAATATAATGACGAGACTTCAGTGTCCCTCTTATAACGCACCTATGACGCTAAAGTGGTGTAGAGAATCTGCATTGTTTTTGCATGTATTTGAGGCATTTATCTGATATTCTTGGTTATAATTTTGCTATTTTATATCCGCGTTGGGCAATCCTATACACTTCACTCACTGTTTTCTTTAGTCTAAACTTGAACATTATCAATACCTAATTATACTTGTCATAACACATTAATATTAGGCTTATCATACATATTGTTACGCATCTGCTTGTTTGTTAATTTCTGGTATAAATTCTTTCCGAGGAACTTCAGCGATAGAAGTCCCTTCTTAACTAAAACTGGTTTATTCTTTCTCGATACAACTTTGTAATACACAGTAATTTCAAAATCAATACGTTTCTCGTCTCTTTACTTAACAACTCTTATAATACACGCTATAGATCACAGCGATTCACAAGCTCGATAACTTCCTTCTATGCGACGACTGCAAAACACGCACAATTTACGGCTCAACGTCACTACTGTTCGGTTGGCTCAATTATCTATATGTCGCTGGCTTTCTTTGCCAGGTTTATATATACTTAAAAAGAGGGCATCTAGATCACACTCGAGCTGGCGGGCAAATTCATGATCCTTCGAAAAACTCCAGTGCCATCCTCTCAGCGTCGCGTGACTTCCGCTGTCGTAACAATATTATTGTAAATTATTTTTTTCAATGTTTTAATTTATATGTTTGTTAGTGGTAGCTGCTAATCGTGATGATGATGTAATAACTGAGAAATTAATATCTATATTGGTACTAGCGTATAGCCCGTCACAAATGACGGGGCAAGTACTACCACCCTCACCCACCCTATTGTTGCGTCAGCAGTCACATGACCGCCGTGACGCAACGTTTCTAGAACTATCATGTACTTT